TTGGGCTGATGTTTCTATGCAGCCTCTGTAATATGTAGAAAGAAAGATGCTGGTCAAGTTTGGGCTTCATGTGCACCCCATGCTGATACAGGCTCTAGGTTCGGTCAGATTACGTTAGTGAATTGGTGTGGACACCCTTCAGAGCTCTCAATCTTCTGTAAACTTTGTGCAATCAGATACTTAAAGACACCTGAGTATGGTGTAAACTTAATCCGTGGTACTATTATTATATGAAGCCAGGAGGATTGTCACAGGGGGAACTGCAGCGGGATCTAAAAGCAGTGGGTAAGCTCCAAGGTAAACATCAGTGCTAGAAATATTTAAAGACTCAAACAGAATTAAGAGTGGAAACCAAACCTGAAAAGAAATAATCTTAAAGTGCTACAGTGCTGTATCATCTGTCTGTCATTAAAATCTAGTGCTTTCCTTTCTCCTTGTGTAGTCTTCACCAAACGGTCACCAGGGCTTTGTGGGGTGCAGGCAGTGGAAGAAGCAGGAGCTGAGTGAGGGGCAGACCCCAAGATCTGATGCTGGGAGTGTGGCTGAGCCACCCTGCAATTATCACTGGACACAAGCCTGCGTCCCTGGTTTTCACCAGCTGACTGTTCCCCTCTCTAGTTCAGCAGAGAATTTGCTCAAGTGATTAAGTCCATCCCCAATCAGCAATGCCCAGACCTTAGGTTGACTCCCATTTCATTAGGATTTAAGCTCATCTGGTGTGATAGTTTCACTGGGCTTAGCCCTGGGTTAACAGCCAACACAGCCATTCACCCACTGCCCCCCACCCCCAGGGCACAGGGGAGAGGATTGGGGGGCAAGGGTAAGGAGGCTTGTAGGGTGAGAGAAGAACAGTTTAAAAATAGAAATAAAAGAAAACTTAAAATAATACTAATATTAAAATCATAGTGATGATGATAACAGTAACAAAATATACAACTGAGTGACACCCAGTGCCATTGCTCACCACCCGCCGACCAAACCCGGCCCGTTCCCAGATCACGATCCCGCAGGAGCCACAATCCCGACCCGAAACCGCAATCCCGGGAGAGCCAGAGCCCGAGCCAAAGCCAGAGAGAGCAAGAGAGGAAGAGCCCCTCATGGATCTCCTGCCCATGGGGGACAGGAGATGGAACAGCCCCTTGGCAGAGCCCAATGCCCATGGAGCTGATCCAGTTCAATATTTCTCACCCCTGAGATCTTGGGCTTGCAGACGGACAAACACAAAGTCCTTCAGTGCCAGGGACACAAATGCAACATGGGGATGTTCTCAGTGTCTCTCTCATAACAAATCCCAGCTGAACCCAACCCCCAGCGCTGTTCTAGCTCTTAAAAATAAACCAGCTCTGGCCCAGCTCAAAACCAGGACATCTGTACATTTCAACACATTAATTGCTGAATCAGGTCTAATTCACCTCCTGTTTGAGCCAGAGACCCATCCTTTTGCTGTGGGCAGAACCGAATCAGGACCATGAAGCAGATACACCCTTGAGCAGTGAAGCTGCGATTCGCTTACAAGAAACATGTGAGGTACAAAATGTGAACTGTGTAAAAGGTATCGATGGTCTCAGCCTTGAGCCCAAGGATGCGATAGCTGTGTTTTACAGCCTGCCGCCGGAGAGGCTGCCAGTTGGCAGGAGGAGGTGGGGAATGTGTCCAAGCCATGGCCATGTAGGAGCTCTGCGTGCTGCTGTGGGCTCCCTGTCAGGCTGCGGCTCTGGTTTGGGATGAAACGTCTGGTGAGCAGAGGGTGTTCAGCCTCGGCAGCAATCTGTTCAGTAGGAAATGCTCCTAGGTGGAGAGTTGGCAGCTGCCCACCAAAACCGCTGCATTGGCAGCAGCGTTGTCTGCAGGGCTACTCTGGATATCACTGGATACAGCTTTGGTTGCCCTTCAAGGACCAAAGGGATGCCCAAGGAGGCCCTCGATACTAGGTGTCATCATTTCCATCCTGAGCCTTCTCATAGAAAAGAGCTGCAGGAGGGAGGGAGGGGAAGAGGCATCATGAAGAGCCACAGAAACAAGAAGGGATTCTGTGTGACTCCGAACGGCTGACGAAGGGTGATACAGGAGCAGAGCCAGGGAGTGAGATGTGGCCACTTGTTCATTGGTGAGCATGTGGCAGTAACTTCACCACAATGATGTGTTAGCAGCCTATCATCAGGACTTCTATTGTGGGAGCTGCTATTTTTTACTCCTGAGGAGAAGATGAACCTCATGACCCAGTACTTCTCTTCTTTACCACCATGCGCCTGCAGAGCAGTTCTGGGAGTGGAGGCCAGGAGACCAAGTCCTCTCAGGGGTCCTTCTGTCATTCTCTGATGCTCCTGTTCCTTTCATTTGATTTATCCTTCTGCTCCATTATGGAGCTGATTTCCAAAACAATTCAGGGCAGTGCCTGCTCCATTTGAGCTTCTAATCTCATGTTTTACCTCTGTGAATTCAAGGCTGGCATGCAGCCCCGGGGCAGAGGTGGTGGGATCCAGCTTCTCCTCTCTACTCTAATCCTTACCTTCTGAGATTATCTCCAAAATCCTGCCCTTCCAGGCATTTCCATCCAGGTAAGCTTGTGTCCTTGCCGAGTCCGTGCAGCTATTGCAGTTAAATCTTCTTTAGTTCAAAGGTGAACCTCAGAGTGAGGTGACTTTGCTTTGTTGATATGTTAATCACATTCCTCCTGCTTTTGTCTTCTCTATCTAGTTGTGTGCTTAAATTGCAATGCTTGATCACCTTCAAGAGCTGTTGCTGTTAGGTGTAGTCACCAAGTGAAATTCCATAATGTTATAAGAATATAATAAATTATATCCTATTGGGGAATTTATTGCTTAGAAGATGGAGAATTGACCTTCAGAGCCTACAGTAGCTACTGTGGGTTTTCAGCTCAGGTGTCGACTGTTTCATCTTCTCTTCAAGAACCAACAGAGTAAAAATATTTTCACCAGAGCTGGCTCCATGCTGGGACACATGGATGTGGTTGTGTGTGTCTGTGTTGGCTGGGTACTATCCATTATCCGAAGCATCTCAGCCTACCATCACTCTAGTTAATGAAGAGTTTAATTGGCAGTTTAAAGGTTGTGCTTTTGCAATCCAGTTTTCAATGTACTTGGGAACATCTTGGGACCATCATCCTGCAAATCCTGGACCCCTTCCCGTTGATTTCTCAATTGATGTGCGATGTCTGTGGAAGGAGGTTTCCATCTCATACCATCCCTCTTTCCCACCCTCCTGTCTTCACAGTCATAAATTACTGCCGTTAATTCGTGGCGTCTAGCTTCTCCCTGTGAACTGGAAAACAGCGCTGCGTGAATCCTGGGATGGTGCTCTGGAGCTGGTGGCTGAGGAGTGCTGGGAGATGTCTGGGGTGTCCTGGAAGGCGATCCTAACACTTCTTCCCACTAATCCCATTAGCTCACCCTGGCTGCTGTGACAGGGCGCTGGGGAGCCCGGCTGCTGGCTGGCTGCTTGCTCTAAGCCATGCACACAATGAAAAGGGTGACTTCAAAGAGGCTAAAATGTAATTTGCATTTCCAAGCTCTCACAGCCAAGGTCTTCAGGAGGGGATGAAAGTGTCTTTTGTTAAACTTAATGGCAGAGTTGATTAAAAAAGCTCTGATTTTTCCCTATTAATGGCACAGTCTGATTCCACTGTTAGGCTTTTGGCCTCTGGGGAAGGATGAGTTGTGCCAAAAAAACCCCAAAAACCCCGACACAAAGAAAGTAACCTGTTGCCTACCCAGCTGTGATCATGCTTAGGGATATTCCAATATCATTTTTCCTAATTTGAGAGCCATGTCATAGCTGTTGAGTGAGTCCTGGCATGAATCACAAAGAAATTATTAGCAAATTCTCATTAGGCATCTCCCTTTGCTCAGACCTCAGCAGACCCAGTGGCTCTGTCTTCCCAGAAAATGGGTCCCAAATATCTCCAACTGGATCCTCAAAGCAAGAAAGTAAAAGGGCTGATTCATGCAGTTGAGTGCATGTTTCAGTGATCACGTATGCAAACCCCTCCTTCAAAACATCCATAAAACTATCTGCTGTGTGCCAGCGCTTGGCTCTTGATGATCTGTTCCAACGAAACAGTCGCTGGTCTGGTCTTCAGAGGTTTGGTCATTTCCTTTCTTTGCTTTGTTTGAAGAATATTGGCAAATAATTTCACATCTGGATTTATGTATTAAATGTCTCCTATATTGTATAAAACAAAGCACCTAACGAAATAAATCTGTCCGTTTAAAACTCCTGTCGTAGCTTTGGTTCCGTTTTAGCAATAACTGTTACCACAATCAGCGAAGACTGAAGAAACCTTTCCTGTTTCAAGGGTATCAGGCCTGGGAGGGGTTTGATTTTCTGTATACTCTTTAAATTCTGTCTCTGCTAGCATGACTCTTCCTGCTGTGTTTATCAATATTAAGTACAAGTTTGGTTCAAAAATAGAAAACAGCATGTTAGCTGCTTTAAATAAATATAAATCTGTTTTTTTCAGGCTGTTTATGTTTTCTCTTCTAATCAAGACTGGGTATATTCCTGAATATAGCCACTTCCCTCATGCAAAAAACATTGATTTTATACAACATTAGTGTGTATTGTGTCTAACCTGAAATGCCACTACCCGATTTTACTAGGCAACTGAAGTATTTTTTAAATTAAATCTTCGATATTTACAGAATTTACTTGCATATATGGTTCTAATCCTTATATTCACTTTGGGATTGTTTGTGAGATACTGAAAACTACCTGCAGCAGTGTGGGAATCCTTTCAGGTTCAAATCCTTCAGGGTACAAAGCCCATGCCGTGCCCCCTGCGCTACCTAAAGACCATATAATCCCTTATCAGAGGCTCTTAATGGAGGGGAAGGCGGCGCGAGGGCTCCTGCGCCGGGAGAGCGTCACCCAGAACGAATCGCAGAGCCCAAGACAAACCCCGTCAAGCCCCTCGCCTCGGCCTCGGATAATACAAGTGCCAGCTCCCCGTGGGGACATTTTGTTGCCAAGTCGCATGTGAAATGCTTCACCCTTTTGTGTTTATGATTGATTTCAGTGACGAGTATGAAGAGGATGGTTTTTGCCAGCCCTACCGGGGGATCGCTTGTGCGCGGTTTATTGGAAATCGAACCATTTATATGGAGTCTTTGCATATGCAAGGTGAAATAGAAAATCAGATTACAGGTGGGTAAAAAACACACTTGCTTCTTTCCCACGGAACTATATTTTCCTGAAATGCCACTAGAGTTTTATAAACCTCAGGACCATTTTTATTTGCTCTTTAACCTCTCTTGCTGTGAGCTTCCCACCACAAAGCTCACCCAGGGCTCCTGCGTTGGGCGGTGTCAGTGGAGGGAGATGTCTGAAGCCCTGGGACAGGCTGCCCAGAGAGGGTGTGGAGTCTCCATCTCTGGAGATGTTCAAACCCACCTGGACACTTTTCTATGCAACCTGGTGTA